AACAGTAGAAAAATATCACATATAAAACATTTATCTTTTTGTTTTTCCAAAGATATTTTTGCCTTTAATTGATAGGACAGCGTCAGTGTGAAAGGGGGGAGAGAGAGGGAATGACATGCAGCTAAGGGCCACAAGTTGGAGGCCGCTGCAGCAATTGCCTTGTACATGGGGCGCCTGCTCTATCCACTTTTCAGAGAAAATGAATTGTTAGATTTATGAAAATTATTAAATGTTGCATGTTTTAATTAAGTTTTATCATTAGGTATATTATTATTGTATTTAAATGTAAAATGAATGTGGTGTTTTGTTGATGATATGATATGACTGACCGGGGGGGTTGTGGACCCCAGGAAGACTAGTTGGTTACTACATACTCTCGCCACCAGCCAATCAGAGATCTCCGCCTTCTGATAGTCTGGGGACACTCCTTTCTAAAGTGTGTTTAACACACCGGTGAAAACGGCCGGCAACAAAGCAACGCCTCTTGCATTTTTGAAAAGGACACGCCCTCCCGGAAATGTGTGCTCCCCCTTTTCTCGTCTGCAAGGACACAAACACACAGAGAGCTTGAAAATGGATGCCGAGAGATTTAACTCTGTTTTATCAAACGTGTGCTCAGTCCACAAGATTGTGGAAATGAAGGACTTACAGCGACTTTGCTTAAAACTTTTAACGCAGTCGGACTATGTTTACGAGCACAAGAGTTCAGCGAGCCACCGAAGGACCGCCCTGCGGATTTACTATTGGTTCTGCAACGTAGGGAGTTTTTTTAAACTCTGAAATTGTATCCGCCCATCTAAACACAAAATCAGGGAGAAAGACATCAGTCTTTAGTTAAGCAAAGCGTCTAAAGACTGACTTGTGAGTCTAGTTACTACGGTACCAGCTAATGGGGATCCTTAATAAATTAAACTAAACTAAACTAAGCCACCGACACCCCAAACATTTATCATTTTTATAAACATACAACATAAGAGAGAAAGTTTAGAAACGATGCTCGGTGGTGACATCAGCCATGACGTCATCATACTGTCCCTCATCATCCTCGTTTGGTGGAGACGTCGTCGTGGAAACAGCCTGGTTCCTTCCTGCAGAGTTAAGTATTAATATTAATTTTAAACATTGATACATCAGGTCAACATTTGTCAATACTTCATTCATCAGAACTAACAACATTCACATCAGCCTCAGCTAACGTTAGCATGCTAACAGGTATGACTTGCATTAGCATGTTAGCCTGCTGATGGTTGGCTCAGTAGTAAAGAGCTGTTAGCATGGCTGCAGACTGTCATTAGCAGGTCAGTGTTACCTGTCGGTCTGCGTCGATATTCACACACCATGAGGACGGTGGAAACTAAGTATGGTAAGGTCACCACTAGGTGGCGTATCACCCCCCACCAAAACTGGATGGACTCTTCAGTGGATGGAGGTGCATCGTAGCGATCTGGAAAAACAAACACACCTGTTCCATATGCTACAGGAAAAGTCAGCGAAAATTAATTTCAGTCAACACATGTGTTTTGTTTAGTTCAATCATTAATGTGAATATTTACATTAAAACCACATCTAATGTCACAGTTTATATATAATGGGACAAAACCTACATATTATTTAATTTATTGATTAAATAAAACAGGTGACTAGGTAGGTAGGTTTACTTTGACAACAGTTAAAAAACATACATGAGTAACTGCAGATCAGTTTCATATACATTAATTAAAAATCGTCAAGAATTAAAATACACAATAAAGCCCAAAGGCTTATTTCCACTGTGGTCCTCGATGACAATAAAAGCTGGCAATTGTGTCAATGACAGGCAAGAGTGGCATAGTTAAAAACAAACAACCCCCTAAAAACGTGATTTTTTCTTTTTTGTTTTTAATTTTTTGTTTTATTGGAACCAGAAAGCACAGAATCTTCAATTAGTCAGCCATTTCCTAAGACTGAATTTAAAATTTCTCTCATTTAAGATTAATTTGAGAGAAACGGGAAGATCACACCACAGGCAAGCTGCAGTGTATGAAAAGGTATTTTTCCCAAACTTAGCTTTAAATTTCAAGGGAACAAAATTTGTTTGGCTGCCTCTGGTATTGTGAGAGTGTGTAGCTCTCACTGGATTAAAAAGGTCAGCAAGGTAGGGAGGTGCATTTTTAAAAGCTATTTTGTGGGCAATGCCCATTTTAATCTGCACCACCCTTTTTTCCACATTTAAGAAATTAATCGTTTTGAAATGGACTGAATCCAAATGAGTGCGGGGATGCAGCTTCAAAACAACTCTAATTAACTTGTTGTGAGCAGTCTGCAGTTTGTTTTTAAGAGACTGTGCAGTGCCACTATACCAGAAGGTGGCAGCATAGTCAAAGTGGCATAGTACTAATGCTCCAGCCAAGGTGTGAAAAGTTGCTGAATCCAGTATATTTGCATTTCTTGCCAGAAATGTTGTTCTGTTGGTAATCTTATTGTGTGCATTCATGGCCATATCCTCTCCTGACAAAATATTATCTATAACACATCCAAGGTAGTAAACTTTTGTTTTTGCCGTAATTACTGACTGCCCAAATTTTACCTCAAAATTGGGTGAAATTCTCAATTTGGGTCTAGTTCCGAAGAGAATGGACTCAGTCTTTCCAAGGTGAAGAGAAAGCCTATTATCGGAGAGCCACCCTGCTACTGACTGAGTTTTATAAGATGAAAATGAGACTTCAAATAAAGATATAATCATGTTAATTTATAAAGCACATTTAAAACAAGAGTTGACCAAAGTTCTGTAAAATAAAATGATTGAAAATTGAAATGAAATTTTAAATGCCCTGACGAAAGTTTCGGATGCAGCTTGCAAATGTGAACGACACAACGTGAGGTCCTATTTATTTTTAGATGTGTAACAATTTCGGACAAAAAACAGTCTCAGTGTGCGAAGGCCTCAGGACTGATTAATAACGGTAAACATCTTCATTCAGTGTTTTTACTGGTTTCAATCAGCTGGTCTGTTCCTGTTGGAGAGGAGGAGACCTCTGTGGATAATTCAGCTCCTGATAAAAAAACCTCCTGAACAATGAAGACTGAAAGAAATCTGTCCAGCAGCAGTTTTTAGCTGGTTGAAATCTGCAGTTTACAGCTAGACGCCACCAAATCGCCCTAAATCTGACACACTTCACCGTTAAAGGAAGAGGGAACAGAAACGGGAATACAAAAATATAAACTCAACAAACCGTCACAACTTTCTCACCTCTGACAAACAGCTGGCTGACCAGAGACGCTCCAACACCGCTGATGTTACACTTGTAGAGGCCTCCATCAGATATGGAAACATTATGGATGGTCATGTGACCTGTGGGCTCAGTCCTGATGAAGGAGCCATCTTTGTAGAAATCAGCTGAGAGGTCGGAGGATCTAACTGCTCTGCAGATCAGAGTGACATTGTCTCCCTCCTTCAAAGGGAGGACAGGAATCTGCAGGATCACCTCTGTGTCTGAACATAGATGGAAAAATGTGTTTGTATGAACCTCTCTGATTCATACTCGTTTTCTTTTTATCGCTCCTACCTGGGACGATGGTGATGTTCAGAGAGTTGCTCTGCTGCTTTGCAGGAGACTCACACCAGTAGGTGGCGCTGTCGGACTGCTTGGCTCTCTGGATGTCACAGCCAGAGGAGGTGAGATCCCCCCATGTACCTCCACAGCTGGAGATCTTGCCATCGGAGGTTGTGGACCTGATGATCTTCCAGCCCTGAGAGCTGCTGTTGTCCCCACAGCTCAGAGACAGGCTCTTATACACAAACATCTGAGACGAGTCAGGAGACACTGTGAGCAGGGGCGGCTCAGAATCATCTGGGGACACAAACATCAGAGTTAGTGTGCGTTCAGCTGCACTTCCTCTAATGTCCACTAGATGCTACATCATTACTACAGTTACCACCACGTGAACCAGTCAGGTTACAGTTACACTTTACATCCATGTTTATCCAGACACACATGAAGCCATGACTCATATGAAGCCATGACTCAGAAGAAGATGATGTCACAGTCAAGCTGACCTTTGACCTTTTGACCTTCATTATTTTATCCTGTTAGACATTTGTGTCAAGTTTGGTCAGAATTAGTGAAGGAATTCCTGAGTTAAATTTGAGTACTTAGGTCAATTCTGGTACATTGACAGCAAGTCTACCGGAGTCAAATTCCTTGTATGTACATACGTACTTGGCGAATAAAGCTGATTCTGATTCTTATTCTGATTCTGGTTATGGCTGTTTGCGCCAAATTTATGGAAATTCCTTTGAGGCCCTTCACTGCCAAATTCTAATGAGTTCATTGTTAAATCCCAAGTGGACATTTGGCCAAATTTGAAGGAATTACTACAAGGTGTTGTTAAGATATCATCTCCATGAGAATGAGATGGCCGCAAGGGCATAGTGACCTTGACCTTATACCACCAAATTGTAATCAGTTCATCGTTGAGTTCAAGTGGACGTTTGTGCCAAATTTCAAGAAACTGCCTCACGACGTTTTTGAGATATTTGAGAAAGAGATAGATGCAAGGTCATAGTGATTTTGTCCTTTGACCACCAAAATGTAACCAGTTCACCACTGGGTCAATGCTGACATTTGTAGGTACAAACATTGTAAGAACAAACTGGATATGATGGAGAAAACAGCTGATGCACCAGACTGGTTTAACAGAAATAAAACTTAGAGATGAAAATATAAAAATATAAAAAAGACATAAAGTGAACAAAGTGAGTGAAATGACTGGAGGTCTTAACCTTTCATCAGCAGCCAGCTGTGTGGAGACACATCACTGCCGATTTTACAGCGGTAGGCGCCTTCATGAGACTCACTGAAATGGTAGATGGTCATGTGACCATATAGCCCATAATGGATTGAGGAGTTATCTTTCTCGAAGACAGCGGGGAGGTCGGAGGACTTGTTTGTTCTACATCTCAGAGTGACATCATCTCCCTCCATCACAGGGAGGACGGGACTCTGCAGGATCACTTTTTGATCTGAACACAGAGACAAACTTCATCAGCACTGACTCCACTTAAATACTCAAAAAATGACACTGTACAAACGATTTATTTTGAAACACACTGGGTTGGTTGCCAATATGATTTAGTGAGTCACTGCTGTTTCTAGCAGCTTATTAGGCACCAAACATGGGTGTTCTGTAGTGACATCTTGCTGTGTTTCCAGCTGATTTTAATGCACCAAACAATGTTTTGTAGCAACACGTCTCTGTTTTTCCAGCAGCTTTTTAGGCACCGAATGGTGTTTTATAGCTATCTGTCTCTGTTTTTTGAGCAGGGTTTAGGAATCAAATGTGAGTGTTTTGTAGTGACTGGTCACTATTCTTTCAGTGGCATTTTAGGCACCAAATGTGGGCATTTTGTAGCAACCAGTCGCTGTTTTTATAGCAGCTTTTTAGGCACCGAATGGTGTTTTATAGCGATCTGTCTCTGTTTTTTGAGCAGGTTTTAGAAATCAAACATGAGTGTTTTGTAGCGACTGGTCACTATTCTTTCAGCGGCATTTTAGGCGCCAAACGTGGGCATTTTGCAGCAACCAGTCACTGTTTTTATAGCAGCTTTTTAGGCACCAAATGTAGGCATTTTGTAGTAACCAGTCGCTGTTTTTATAGCAGCTTTTTAGGCACCAAATGTAGGCATTTTGTAGCAACCAGTCGCTGTTTTTATAGCAGCTTTTTAGGCACAGAACGTGGGCATTTTGTTGTGACATCTTGCTGTGTTTCCAGCTGATTTTATGGCACAGTATTTTGTAGCAACCAGTCGCTGTTTTTACAGCAGCTTTTAAGTAATAAACATGGATGTTTTCTAGTAACACATGGCTGTTTGTTCAGTGGCTTTTTAGGCACAAATGTAGGTGTTTTGTGTCAGTATATTGCTGTGTCTCCAGTAAATTTTCTTTTAGGCACCCTTACGTGGGTGTTTTGTAATGAATTTTCTGTTTTTTGAGCGGGTTTTAGGCTCCAAACGTGGTTGGTTTGCAGCGACATGCTGTTGTTCATCCAGCAGCTTTTAAGGCTCTACACATGGGTGTTTGGTAGCAACACATCGCTGTTTTTTCATTGAATTTTTAGGCAACAAAAGTGACATCGTGTTTTCAGTAGATTTTTTGGCGCTAAACAGCATTTTATTGCGATTCATCTATCTTTTGAGCAGCGTTTATGTATCAAACATGGGTGTTTTGTAGCAACCGGTCAATATTTTTCTTGCAGCTTTTTAGGCACCAAATGTGGGTATGTTTTCAACAACGTGTTTTCTGGTGACTGGGTTGTATTTGTTTGCAGAAGTCATACAGGTAGCACGTGTATCATGTCGATGCCAAATCTACAGTTGCATCAAAAAGTGTTATGAAAGAGGAAGAAGAGGAAGTATGTGTGTGACTTGTCCAGAGGGCACATTATGATGTCATTCTATGGAACTTACCAGTGACAGTGATGTTGACGGTGTTGCTGCTGTCTCTGTATTTAGATTGACACCAGTACACTCCGCTGTCGGACACTTTGGCTGTCTCCATGATGCAGGTGGTGGGAGTCTGTTTGCCCCAGCCAAATCCACACTGAGACATCTTTAACCTGGGAACACATCACCTCAGTTTATTAATCATTTACACGTGTGGAGTTTGATTATTAACAAAAAAAGCTTCAGTGCTGCACGTTGGCACTTTTTGGTGAAACATTGCACCTCAACACCAAATTGTTAAAACCGAACTGAGCAGCTCAACGTTAGTTAGTTCTAACATGCCCTCCCTTCTCTTGCATTAAAACAAACCTTTGCATACAGGTCCAGTCCTCAACTAAAACTGTGAGCTAATATTCTTGACGGTGGCGCTGCAGCAACTGTCATGATTCATTATGAATTAGTCGTACATGCTGCAAATGTGCAATTTTCACCAAATGTAGCCTGAAATTAGCAGATTCTTCAAGCTGAATAAAACTATAAAATCCATAACTGTTTTTCTCAAAATCTGAAAAAACTAATCAAACACCTTTCCTCCCACATTTGTCACTCAATCAACACTAAATTATCTACACAGCATCTTCCGAGAGTCCTCCACTAAATATCCAGCCAGGTTTTTGAAATATCAAAAATTAAGCCCACAGTGCATCTAAACATTTGTGTTAACAGCGACTGCAAATTCCTGCTGAATAAATCTAAAATGTTTTTGAAAAAAGGATAAAATTTTGATAATTTTCACAATTTTATCCCAAAAACAGAATTTTAGACAATACTTTGAATTCCATCCTCATGTAAACCACCACAGTCAATGGAAATAAGAACATCTTTTTATAGAGCGTCGATCTTTGTAAAAATAAAACACGATACGCCCATGTTGTCTAAATAAAGCACAACAATTCTCAGAATTTTTGACACTAGTTTGAAATCTTCCTCCACACACAACCTTGTTAACTGTTGAAGTCACAGTGTGAAGACTGTGGTTTCTCACTTGGCAGGAAACTCAATAAGTTCAGGACTCAGTGTCTAAGGTTTTGAGTTTGTGTCGTGTCACAGAGCTGCAATTTGTGTTCATCTTTTTATTAACTGTGACCACGGTCTTCCCCAAACTTCAACCATACTGTTGCATGAACAGATATTTTTTTTAAATCTTGTGATTAAATGTAATTCATTGTTTCATAGAAGCACCAAACGTTCATGTTCTCATCTTGCAGCTGTAAATTTCTGTGAGTTAGTGTGAACCAGAGAACAACACTCTGACAGTGACTCCTGCGCCCAGTAATCACCCATGAAATCAAGGGCTGGATCAAAGCTGATAGCAGATGTCTCATTTTTCAGATTTTTATTAGCTGTAGTGTAAGATGGAGGAAGACTCCCCACTACTATTCATTTTCATTTTATAATTTTTCAAACGCTCCCCGCTTACAAACCTAAAAACCAATTTGTGCAGTGATCATCAGGAATAAGATAAACCTTGATTCATTGTGAGGGAAACTTTTGTGCAGCAGCTGCAGTGCAAAGTGGTAATGAGCAACACATTCTCACCCCAACCCGTCAAACACTGACGCTTGGTCAGTGGCCCTAAATGTTAAAGTATGACGCTCTGGGTGACCCTCAAGCTGGACGTTCTGCGATAGTGCGTCAATTTCGCTTGTTACATGCATCGTGTCTTTTCAAAATAAAGTTAGAACAAAGGAAAAAAAATATTTTCAGATTTACTTCCGTAGGTTTGGGCATCAGAAGCACGCTGTAAGATTTAGAAAAAAACAGCAAAATAGTAACCTTGTTCCTGACGTAATGTAAAGTCATGTAACATACATGATGAAGCAGGATGAAAGCTGAAGTGTTTGGGGCAACATTATCTGCTCAGATTCAACTAAATGTTTCAAAACTCATTAGACGATGCTTCACAGTGCAGTTGGACAATGACCTGAAGCATAATGCAAAAGCAACCAAAGACATTTTTAAGGCAAAGAAGTGGAATGTTGTGCAATGGCCAAGTCATATCATCTGACCTGAATCCAACTGAGCATGAGTTTCTCTTGCTGAAGCCAAAACTGAGGGCAAAACACCCAAAACACAAGCAGGAAGTGCAGACGGCTGCAGTAAAGGGCTGGCAGAGCATCACCAGGGAAGAAACCCAGCATCTGGTGATGTCTATGTGTCCAACACTTCAGGCAGTCATTGACTGTAAAGGATTTGCAACCAAGTATTAAAACTGACTGTTTAATTGATGATTATGTTAGTTTGTCCAAATACATATGAGCCCTTAAAGTCGGGGGACTGTGTGAAGAAATGGTTGTAATTCCTACACGGTTCATACTACATTTTTGAAAAAAGGCTTAAATGAAAGCTGAGAGTCTGCACTTTAAGCAGGTATTCATTGTTTCATTTAAAACCCATTGTGGTGGTGTACAGAGCCAAAATGACGACAACTGTATCATTGTCCAAATAATTATGGACCTGACTGTATGTCAACACGTCAGTAGCGTAGCATGCTACACATCGTAGCATCAAAATATTAGTTATTAAAATAACTCGTTGACTTTTGGTTTCATACGGAACACAAACAGCAGGTCTGTCCGGAGTCTGTTTGACCCATCCATCATCCCGCCCGTCCTGTGCAGACTTTATCGCTCTTTATTCTAATCCAGTTGCTTGGAGTCTCAAAACACGCTGCCACCTGACGCATCACATACCACCACTAAAGGGTGTCTCTGTGCCTCGGTATCTTACACCAAAGGCCAATGACGAAGTGCCAGTAGTGTCGGGTTGGAAACAGTGCAAATAAAAACAAATACAAACAATAAAGATGATCAGTAAGGTGCAAACCCAAAAAAGTGTACTGGATTCATCAAACACATGGAAAGCTACATCCTTTAGGAATGATGATATTTGTGGTGTAAACTCACGTTACATTTGAGTATCTCCAAACCGACCATTTACCAGAGCTCACATGATCACAGCTCAAAGACACCTCTCCATACTCAAAGAACTGAGACCAGCCGGGAGTGACGGTCACTGAGACTGGGAGGGAGACAGAGGCAGACATAGTGGATTAGTTTACTTTCCACCACAGAGGTTCAGACAAAGAGACTCACAAGACCTCGTCAGACAGTTACAGTCAGGGTCAAAGATGTCGCAGGTTCAGCGAACAAATAAAGAAAATAAAACCAGGCAGAGAGGTCAGAAACTGTCAGGATTTTGTTTCCCAAACCACAGAATGGACTCAAAATGTGAAAGTTCAGGGCCCACACATATGAACATTCATACGTCACATCTCACAGGCGGCATTTAGAAAACAAGGATGTGTGCACCTCACGGACTCCAGACCAGCATACACATGGTTTTCTATTCTAGTCTGAGGGTGAGACTGTGAGGTGCAGTCATCAAAACAGAAAGACAGAAACTAAATAATAAAACATTTGACTACATTTGCTGAAGACCTTTCTCTGTGGCCTTAATAAAGCCATTATTATATTGTAATAAACTGTTAATAAAAGCACAGTCCCTTTTTATTCAGGTTCTTTGGATGTATAAAACTGGGTTTGCAACATTAACGTGAGTTAGCTGCTTAGATCCCGCATACAAATATAAACGTTTAAACTTTTGTCAATATGGACATTCTACTCATTAATTAGATTCTGCACACTTCAATCATTCAGTTCATTTCACTGAAACCAGGAGCACCAAAAAATACAACAATTCATAAATTGATATTAAATTGGTGACATCACTTTATGCTATATACATATATAGTTTGTGATGTTTCAGGGCGTAGAAACAACAAGAAAACAGATGAGAGAAACAGACAGGCAAAAGCAAAACTAGGAAACTGGCTGAGGTGAAACAATGTACAAAGAAAAAACACGATAAACTGAAAAACTGAACTGAGAACTGGGAATCATACCATATAGTTTGCTGTGTGTCAAATGCAGAATTATGCAGTTTTGAACACATCACAAATACACAAGAGGCGCAGGGAGATAATGAAGGACAGGTGAAACAGATCAGACAATCACTAAGGCAGGAAAACACACAAAATAATATTAATGAACCTACAAAGTAAAGCAGGAAACAGACTTAACATGAATGAATGACATTAAACAATGAAGAACACAAACAGGGAAAACAAAACCCAGAAAACAAAGACTTACTCCGCCCACCAGTCCACCCTGTGGTTATATGACTCCGCCCACCAGTCCACCCTGTGGTTATATGACTCCGCCCACCAGTCCACCCTGTGGTTATATGACTCCGCCCACCCTACGCTGTAGCCTGACGTGCACATCCCCAGAAATGTAACTACACATCACAGTGACGCAGACCTCCTGTGTGTCTCTGTAAGCTGAAACCATTTCCCTCAGTGGAAACAAAGCTTTGATTTACTTTAATTTCACAGATAAGAAACAATAAATTGTGAAGACAATAAAGCCTCCACACACTGTGTGTGATTTATCCTGGCTGAAATATGAGCAGAGGAAATCTCTGCTAGCTGCTA